GAACAACTCCTGTATCATATCAAAAACCTTTACTGTAATGAAGGAACTCCTGTCCTGAGAATTGTGGCTGCTCATTTTGTCCCAGAATCATTAGATCTGAAAAATTGTTTTAATATAAAAAAAAAATATTTAATATACTTAATAATGTTGGAATGTCCGTCACTTTCACATTCTTCTTGCTCTTAATGACTTTAGACAGGTTGTCTAATGAATGGTCCATATTTTGTCTGATTACTTCTCTGATGTTTTCCAAACATGTTTGTCGTTGAGCTTGGCATATGAAGCAATTTTGTTCTGTAATAAAACTAATTAAAGTAGGCAGCCATCCACACAACACTCCTTAATGAATTATAATGAGCTCATTAATCGAATCACTCTTGCTCAGGAAATCCACTACTAGGACCTATTAAAAGGTATAGAAATATAGAAAATCTGGATAAAATAAGTCAATTAAATATATACTTTTCTTTGAATTTTAAAAAAAAATGCAATTGAGGAAAGCTATTAAGTTAAACCCTTTATTTGAAAATAAAACGTGAAGGGAACTTATTTGCTTTAGGTTGTTTTGAATAACTGAGCAAGAGAAATAATAGATTTTTGTCTTGGTTGATAGTAGTAAATCATTTTAAAGCATCGGATAAACATTAATAGTGTACATAGATAAATTGAGAATACAGAATTAGATGTGTGAAGGAGATGAAGTTATATCTTTGCTTGCCCAGCTGGTTGTTTAAACATGCCTTTAGGAAATTAATAATGTCTTATGCTATTCACTGTGAAAATAAATAACTTTGCCCTATACAGAACAGTTTCTAAACTTGGTATATATTGCATAATAATACAACAGCTGTATCTGGATCTCAGTCTTTGTAGATTCAAGATTTTGGATAACGATTGAGCAACGCTTCCAGGATTCAGTGCTACTTGAAGTGAAGAAAATATAGGATCTCCAGCAGGGGTGAAATCCAGCAAGCTCTGACAGGTTCTGGAGAACCGGTAGTGGAAATTTTGAGTAGTTCGGAGAACTGGCAAATACCACCTTTGGCTGGCCCCAGAGTGGGGTGGGGAGTGGAGATTTTGCAATATCCTTTCCTTGCCACGCCCATCAAGCCACACCATGCCCACCAAGCCACGCCCACAGAACTGGTAGTAAAAAAAAATGGATTTCACCACTGATCTCCAGTCTGCTGGCAGTTGATGTCTGAAATATTGTTGGTTTTTTCCTTTGGTGGTGGTCTTTCCCTGTATCTGAGGGGGAAAAAAGTAATTCTGAAGTACCATAGAATCATGTGATTTTAACTTTTTCTCAGATATTCCTCCAGGTGTGTCTAAGGTTTGGGTGAAGACTTCTTGAAACCATGCTAGGCTTCATCTGATTGCTATACTACAAAGCCAAATCAGAGGATTTATTTATTTATTAACTAAATATAAATGGCTTCCCACAGGAGAATCTGGGCAGTTCTCTCTTAGATACAGACAAGAAGCAAAACTGTCCCCTTTCTTCAGCAGTACAGAAGACATTAAAGCAGTCATAGCAAGAAGTGGCAATAAAGATATATTATCGGCAATGACATTCATTCTTCAATCCTTGAATCCTCTCAATTTCACAAATGAAGGCAAAACTTTGAATGATTCCACATTTGCTGAATGATATGGGGATGCGGTGGCTCAGTGGCTAAGACACTGAGCTTGTCAATCGAAAGGTCGGCAGTTCAGCGGTTCGAATCCCTAGTGCCACGTAACGGGGTGAGCTCCCGTTACTTGTCTAGCTTCTGCCAACCTAGCAGTTCGAAAGCACGTTAAAAAAATGCAAGTAGAAAAATAGGGACCACCTTTTGTGGGAAGGTAACAGTGCTCTATGAGCCTTTGGCGTTTAGTCATGCCAGCCACATGACCACGGAGACGTCTTCGTACAGCGCTGGCTCTTCAGCTTTGAAACGGAGATGAGCACCGCCCCCTAGAGTTGGGGACGACTAGCACATATTTGCGAGGGGAACCTTTACCGTTACATTTATCTTATGGGGGGGGAGTTGGTACCGCCTATTTTTAAATCTTCTTTCTACAGATTACTTGCACTTTGCTAAAACCCCTTTGACACATATGAGGTTGAGGGTTTTTTTTTAAATGTTTAAAAACAGCTGGCTTCTTTGGTGGATGTTTGATTATTATTATTTTTTATGGTGTGTCAGATGTGAAATCATAGACAGTTACAATGCACCCCTCATCCTATTTCCTGTGGCTAATTTTTAGGAGACAAGTTTCTCTGACAAATTTCTGTAGTGGACTTCATATTTCACAGTATTTTTTTTTACCCATCGCCTAAATCGGAATCTATGTTCTTACGTCTTTCTTTTCTCCTTTGCTTTAAAAGCTTTCATAACAAATTGCGATGCACTTGACAGTAATGGCTAAGAGACAGCAGGCTCTAAAATTACAACCTGTTCTTCACCTCAGATTCTCTGGTATTTGCTATTTTTTAATTCTTTCAGAGGTAGACATACATTTCCCTGCACACCCCAGCTGCTTTTTTGATAGAGCTGTTGCTATATTGTAGTCAGTGTCTCGGCTCATATGTACACAAGTGTTCCTACACATTTCACTATATTCTTTCTCAGTTGTTTTCTGGTGATAGGCTATTGGGCGATATTTCTCTTAAGTATTTCTTCAACAAACTAAATGCTTTGGCGCTTTTTTTAAAAGATATATTTCATTAACAGTTTGCAAATCCCATATAGTACAGTGTAGTCAAATTAATATTAGTGTGCAATGTATGTTGTGTTGTGCATCTCTGAGAAAAATAGTTCAACTTATTTAGCATTCTGGTTTTTATTGTCATGTCTTATTCCATTAAACAGAAGCCAGTGTCCTGTTTGCATGTGATTTGGTATAGATCTTTGGATCCCATGGCTATTTCTGCAAGCTACACTTCCTGTGAACTTCTCTGAATGCAGAAGACAACTTTTATTGACAGCGGGGCTCTTAGGGCAGAGATCACAATTGAGTAACAACAGTAGGGGGAAAAAATCCTACATTTCCCCTCCTCTCCTGCTTTCATAACTAATTTCTGTTAATATCAGAGAGAGAAAAGGCTTTAAATAAGTAATTTGTCTTGGCTTAGTTTAATGGGAAGTGGCAGTTGAATGCATGGTATATCCCCTTTCCTTCTGGGGTAATGTAATAAATAAATAGCAATGACTGTGAGAGGTATCTTGGAGTCTTAGTGGACAACCAGTTAAATATGAGCCAGCAGTGTGCAGCGGCAGCCAAAAAAGCCAATGCAATCATATATTGAATTAATAGAGGGATACAATCAAGATCAAATGAGGTACTAATAACACTCTATAAAGCCCAAATAAGACCAACCTAGAGTACTGCATCCTGTTTTGGTCACCACACTATAAAAAAGATGTTGAGACTCTAGAAAAAGTGCAGAGGAGAGCAACCAGGATGATTAGGGGACTGGAGACCAAAACATATGAAGAATGGTTACAAGAATTGGGCATGGCTAGTCTAGTGAAGAGAAAGACCAGGTGAGACATGATACAGTGTTCCAATATTTGAGGGGCTGCCACAGACAGGAGGGGGTCAAGCTATTTTCCAAAGCACCTGAAGGCCAGACAAGGAATAATGGATGGAAACTGACCAAGGAGAGATTCAATCTAGAAATGAGGAGAAACTTTCTGACAGTGAGAACAATCAACCAATGGAACAGAAGTTGCCTTCGGAAGTTGTGGGAGCTTCATTACTTGAGACTTTCAAGAAAAGATTGGACTGCCATTTGTCAGAAATGGTGTAGGGTCTCCTACTTGAGCAGTGGGTTGGACTAGATGACCTAAAAGGTACCTTCCAACTCTGTTAATCTGTAAAATCTGTAATTTGTAAAGCCTGGCCTTGGGAAATGGGGAAAAAAAATAATATCAGTGACATAGAGGAATGGAGAAATCTGGAAGAGGGCAAAGCTGCCTGCACAGAATCTTACATCAAAGAAAGCACTTTGCTTTGCAAAATATTATGGCAAGTTCCACTTGCGACATTTTATTGCAAACTTTATTATATTCCCTATTAAACAAACTAATAAATCTGTTTACGTCGATAACTTTCCAAAAAGAGGAGATAACTAGAAAGCCAAGCAAGGTTGGCTGTGTAATTGGACACTCTCATCCACAGATCACTGCAGGGTAGTGGTGAAATGTAAAATTTGCTACTACTGGTTCTGTGGGCGTGGCTTGGTGTGGGGGGGTAATGTGACTGGGTGGGCGTGGCCAACTTTTTTTTTTTAACTTTTAAAAGCATTTTTTCTACAACCTCTTCGGCCAATGAGTTTGTTTAAAAAATGCTTTTAAAAGGCTTTGACGATCTCAGCTGAGTTGCCTGATCATCAGTGGCTTTTGTTTTCTTTTAAAAGCATTTTTTTTTTGCTTTTAAAAGAAAAAAAACCTCTGACGATCAGGCAATTCATCTGGGATCGTTAAAAGGCTCTGACGATCCCAGCTGAGCCGCCCGATCATCAGAGGCTTTTTTTTTTTTTACTTTTAAAAGCATTTTTGGCTGAAGAAAAAAATGCTTTTAAAAGTTAAAAAAAAAGCCTCTGATGATCGTGTGGCTCAGCTGGGCATGGGGGGGGGCAGGGATTTTTGCTACTGGTTCTCCGAACCACCCACCGCCATCACTACCGGATCGGGCGATCCGGTCCGAACCGGGAGCATTTCACCCCTGCTGCAGGGGTTCAAAAGAATGACACACTAACCAAATGGACTTATCACACAGGATTCCGTTCACAGTTTGGTTTGCCTAATATGCTTTTATTTCAGCAGCATTAGGTTACAATATTTGCATTACTAACAGAATATGCTATTAGAAATATCACACATGAAAAGGGAGCCCCAAGATTCATTACTTGGATGTAATTATTTGGCACAGTGTGACATTGTCTTTTCTTGTGAGGAGCAGGGGGGAAAAGTGCTAAGCCCTTTGTAACATCTCTTTTGATGTTATTATAGGATATAATGAAAGATGAATGCTTGACTCTGAAACTGCAACTAAAGGAGAAAGAGGAACTCATTTCCCAACTTCGTGAAGAGCTGGTAAGTGACTAACAATGTTTGTTTCTTATTTGGAATTTACTAGACCTGGTAAGATTATTGTCTGGGGATAATACAGAGGTTGAATATATGCTTACATTAGAGTCATATTAGGCAGATTTTGAAACTGAGAACGTGTCAACTTCTGAAAGGGCAATTTTGCAGGTAAGTCAAAGGAGGCTGTTTGTTTTAGAAGCCTCCAATGACAGTTCCCTTTAATCCCTGATGTAAGACAAGCCACAATTTTCTGTGCATTTTACATTGCAAATATTCTGATGGTTACATACCATATGCTGATTTGCGGGTGTCTCTATTGATATAATCATACCGTAAAGTATTTCCCCTGCTCCCACTGCATGAAATACACGAGTATACAGAGTGTAAATTTCAGTAGCTTTTTAGGTTTTCATACAACAGTGTACACTTTACACTTGCTGCTAGTAAAACTGTTTAAATTACTATCTTATCAACATACTGAAAACTGGAACTGAAACAAGAACAGAAAAAATAAAAGTTTACTATCAACTGATGTTCTGACCAGGGGTGGGTCCTACTTACCTTTACTACCGGTTTGCAACGGGGCCCCACGCGCACACTTTTTTCACTCACACGTGGGCTCTTCTGCGCATGCGCAGAATCATTTTGACGATGTTGGGGTTGGTGGGCGGAACCTCCCACCGGTTTTACTACCGGTTCTATAGAACCGGTGTGAACCAGAGGCAACCCACCACTGGTTCTGACCAACTGCTAGGTATGTTCCTCTAATTAAGAGAATTTATTGATACTCCTGTGTAAATTTATATTAAATATCCATGTGGTTTTCAGTATGTGAGAGCATACATTGATTGCTTATTTTAATTTGGAGAGGAATCTTGGTGAATGAAAAATACAGAAATGAATGAATGAAAGTCTGCCTTGTTCATGCATGCATGCATGCATGCACATTTGTATGTGTATATGTGTGTGTATACATGCATGCATACATACATACATACATACACACACATATATTAAGTGCAGAAAAGAAGAATGGCTCTTGGAAAGAAACTTTCGAGAAAACTTAGTACAAAACATCCCACTTTCCATTGACTGAGATACCCTTTCAGTGAAAATCAGAACAGTAGCTGAGGTTGTCTGCTCAACGGTATCTGTCAAATATGAGCCATGAATTATTAAGTAAAGCAACTACATCAGTGGCAGTAAAACTGACAATCCACTTCATTTATCCAAACTGGACAGTTAATTTTCTTTTGCTTCCCTATGGAACAAATACATAATTAGAACTTGATTTAAAATATTATCGAGCTGGTTATAAGAGTGTTATGCCGACCTATTTTTAAATTGTTTATCTTAGTAAAAAGACAAATAGATTTTTGTCTTAGTAAAAAGAGGAAAAAAAGACACTTTTGGTCTCAGTATCTTTCCTACGGTGTGTCTAAGGCTTACAGAGATATATTTCAAGGCGTGTTTGTTGGTGTACTTCCAAAACTCTAATTATGTAGCTGATACACTAATGACTAGATAAAACAGTCACATTAGGAAAAATTGTTGTTAAAAGTGAAAATAGTAGGGAAGATGAATTAGCCAGAACCCATTTTGAATATATGAATTCATGAGTTGAGTTGATGTCCAAAAGTTTCCTGGAATGTTCTAATCAGTTTGAAGGCATCTGATTCTTTGTGTTGAGTCAATTTGACAGTTTGACAAGATTGATGTCAGCCCTCCAAGGTACTCCAGTCAAGAAGCACAAATCATGTGAACTGATACTACTTTTATTGTAAGCTTACAGTAACAGAATCTTGCAAGTTTGAAAACTCTTCTTCCCTCCTTTATGTTTCAGTAAACTCTTCTGACACGCTTTTTACCCCTTTCCCCATGTTTGTGCTATGGTACTTTTTTATAATGTTTGTCTAGCGTATGGCTCTACCTTTTGTCTCACAAGGATCACATTTTAAATAATATTCAGAAATGTTGAACATTCAGAAGTGTTTGCAAACACTTTTGTATGTGATGGTTTGAGATATATGTACCTATTTGCTTATTTTTTTTTCTATCTGCCTGAACAGGATAAGAGTTTTGTGCCGTGGTTAGCTTCTCCAGAAGCATATAAAATACCTTAGACTGGACAAATTGCATTCTCATTTTATCTAGAAAAAATCTGGGTGGGTTTCAGAGCCAATTGTGATTATGACCAGTTCTCAAATTCTAGTCATCCCAGCATCCGCACAGTCACATGATTATTATTTTTTTTTATTTTATTAAATTTCTATACCGCCCTTCTCCCGAAGGACTCAGGGCGGTGAACAGCCAGAAGATAAAACACAGAGATAAAAAAATTTAAAATAGATTAAAAACAAATTAAATAATTTGGCTGAATTTAAAATACCCCATAATTTAAACAGATTAAAATTTGTATTTAAAATTTATATTTAAAAGTGGAGAAGATTTAGGCCAGGCCAGCTTGATGAAATAAAAACGTTTTGATTATGATCTGAGCGCTTGGAAACTGCCTAGCACTTTACAATGGTTGCCACATCCCATGGTTATATGGTTATATGATAACCATGGTTATCAATGGTTATCAATCATATAACAATGGTTATATGATCTTGCAACCTTCTATGGCAACTTCCCTCAACTAAAATCAGTGGGGAAGCTGGCAGGAAATGTCACAAGTTGCTTAGGTAAATCTCCACCTGCACATCCTTCTTGAGCCTCACTGCACTTGTGTAGTTTCTTCCCGGGCTCTAACCCAGCTTCCACACTCATGTCACACCTTCCCTGTCACACCACCCTGTGTACCTGTCCCATTTGGCAGCAACTAAAACCAGGGCATACAAAACCTTTGCCAGACCAATTCTTAAATACAGCTCATTTGCCTGGAATCCACACTGTATAACAGACATTAATACAATTGAGTGAGTCCAGAGGTGTTTCACGAGAAGAGTATTCTACTCCTCTGCTCGCAGTAGAATCCCTTATGCCACCAGGCTTGAAATTTTGGACTTGGACAACCTAGAACTACGCCGCCTACGGTCTGACCTAAGCTTAGTACACAAAATATGATATGATATGATATGATTTTAATTTTTTTGTCTGGTTGTTGTGACCATCCAGAATCCTTCATGACTTTTTCACGAAGAGGCTTCATGAGAACTGAGGATAAGTAACCAGCTTTAGTTTAAAAGTGATGCTTCTAATTTGTGATCAAATCAGGGTTGTAATTGAGAATCTGATTTCATTCTATTTATTTATTTATTGTTTATTTATTGGTTCGATTTATATGCCGCCCTTCTCCGGAGACTCAGGGCGGCTTACAATGCGTTAAGCAATAGCCTTCATACTTTTGTATATACCTGCTTAGTAGGGCTTTCGCCCCCCCAAAGCGGTATTCTTTTTTATACAAAGTCAGCTTATTGCCCCCACAATCCGGGTCCTCATTTTACCTACCTCGAAAGGATGGAAGGCTGAGTCAACCTTGAGCCTGGTGAGATTTGAGCTTGCAGTAATTGCAGGCAGCTGGTGCTACTTAACAGCACTTTAGTCTGCTGTGCCACCAAGGCTCTTCTACATGACAAACATACTCAGTTTCGTATTAATAAAAAAATGCACAATGTTTGCCAAGAAAAAATGTTATAAGAATGGAAACAGACTGTCCTCAAAATTGAAATGAATACTGTTTTTCTACATTCTTTTTAAAAAAAAGATATTAAGAATCATGTATTATGTAAATACCAAATAAGATTAAATAACACAATGAAGTAGAGATTAATCTTTTACAGACTGGTGAATTTTTGTACAATGTCATTGTAAAACTGATACTCTGCCTATCTTGTCCAAAGCATATATCTGAAAATGTTGTTACTCCAAAAGTATACTACGTTATTTTTGCAAGTTCCTGCTTCTTGATAGATTCTTACTCCATTGGATAGAAAATACATAATTCTTCAAGGATGACATAAAATCAGGGGCTTTGGTGTTTATAGTAAGCAAAGGATTTTTGGAGATATTTTTTATTTATAAGAATTCTTCAGCTATGAAATTCTTAAACAGCAGATTAAAAAAAAAATCACAATCGAGTTGGACTTCATGCAGAAGATTGCACTCAATGAAAATTCCAAGGATGCAGTTTTTGGTTAGGCATCAGGAAAACTTTATAATATTCAACAGTATTCCACAACAGAACTGGCTGTCTTGAAAAGCACTTAAGCACTCTGGATGTGTTTAAATAGAGTTTGGATTTATCAGGGACCCTATAGTAAGGGACATGGTGGCTCAGTGGCTAAGATGCTGAGCTTGTCGATTGAAAGGTCAGCAGCTCAAATCCTTAGTGCCGCATAACAGGGTGCACTCCCGTTACTTGTCCCAGCTTCTGCCAACCTCGCAGTTTGAAAGCATGTACAAAATGCAAGTAGAAAAATAGGGGCCACCTTTGGTGGGAAGGTAACAGCGTTCCGTGAGCCTTTGGCATTTAGTCATGACCATGGAGATGTCTTTGGACAGCGCTGGCTCTTCGACTTTGAAATGGAGATGAGCACCACCCCCTAGAGTCGGGAATGACTAGCACATATTTGTGAAGGGAACTTTTACCTTTTTATAGTAGTGGATTCTTGCACTGGGTTTATATGGTCTCTATGGTACCTTCCAGGAATTTTAATCTATGATCATATTCATCATTCATCCCTATTGTATATTTTATGGAAGCACAATGTGCTTATTCAGAGATGTGGTGGCGCGGTAGTTAGAATGCAGTACTGCAGGCTATTTCTGCTGACTGCCGGCTGACTGCAATTTGGCGGTTCAAATCTCACCAAGCTCAAGGTCGACTCAGCCTTCCATCCTCCCGAGGTCAGTAAAATGAGGACCCAGATTGTTGGGGGCAATAGGCTGACTCTGTACACCGCTTAGAGAGGGCTGTAAAGTATAAGTGCTATTGCTATTTAGCAATGTTTACCTGTTTTTAATGTAGTATAACCTTTGATGAGTAGAGAAAAAAAAAAAGC